TCACTCCCATCTGGATTCTGGTGACCTGCACTTCCATTGGTTAAAATCACCAATGTTTTCCTGATTCCTGGATTCCAGTTTTATCTGACTGTGGCTCTTTGTTGTTTAGCAATTGGAGCAATATTGACTTGACCCTACATTGTATTAAAAGGGTATTTGGCCAGGGAACCAGATACACTCTTAGGACTTCTCAGGACTGACATCAACCCACATAAGGTCCCTGGGGAGGGTCCTGGGCTGGGCACTGCTGAGCTCCCTTGTTGTGAGATAAGTTAGGCCTAGATAACTTTAGACCAAAACAGAGAGGGAGTTTTCCTCTGTGAATTTCAGGTCCCCTAGGCCCAGGAACGGGAAAAATTGGATGAAGAGGAAAGGCTGATGAGGAAGACCAGTGAAGAGCTTCGTGCAGATAATCCAGGAAGCAAAAAAGGATAGAGGTCTGAATTAAGACAGCTGGCAATAGAGATAACCAGTTCATAAGAAGTGTGGGAAAAAACTGACAGAATTGTTGGATTAGAGAGATGAGAAAGAGAGAATTTAAGGATGACTTCTGAGTTTCTAGCTTGGGAAACAAGGGGTATACTGTCTTCATATTAATTCAGGGAGAATATAAGAGGAAGAACTGTTTGGGAGAATAGAAAAAAAGTCTCAAATTCTGCTTGTGATGAAGTTAGCTTGGGAAAAAAGAGAAATTAGGTGTATACTAAATTTGTTGAGATGTAATATTGTGAAAATGTTTGAATTTAGACTATACAGGAAATCAGAGTTACCTTTGTACAGATCATGAGGTCTAATTTTAAAAAAAAGTCTTTGATATATATATATAGTTAAAATTTGTCTTTTTAGATAAAAAGTTGTTGAGCAAAGACCTAACAATTAGGTTTGTTTCTCCAAGAGGGTTTTAGGATTAAATGAACCTAAGAGAAAGGAACCTGAATCTCTGGCTTTCCCTAGATTCAACTCAGCAGTGGGGTCAGGACTGGGGGTTGCCAACACTACAGCAGCCATTTGCAGAGGAGATCTCCCAGATAACGAAACATCGTGCCCTGGGATCAGGGAAGGGAACATGCTGTGAGAGGATAGTCATTGGTAGCACTTCTAAATTTGTCCCCTATACCTGATCATTGGCTGTATTTGCCTGCTTTTTTAGGTGCCTGGTTTTGAAATATCAGTTTTGTCAGACCACATGTGGGTGTTGGATTAGTTTGGAAGATTGGAAAAAGTTGTCTTCAGCTCTTCTGAGACATTTGGAACAGGGGAAATGAGGAAGGGAACACAATACAGGCAGTTCTGATCATGTTGAGAAGGGTTTTCATGGAGATTGTTCAGTGGGAGTTAGAAACATAAACTAGATATTTGAACTACTGACTTAGAAGTTGTTGATGAATGTCGTGGGGTGGGAGGTGATGTACTGGATCTCCTGAAGGGAGCACACAGAATGAGAAGCAAGTGGATCATAGGTGGAATCCCTGCTGATCCAGTAGTTTAAAGAAACGCTGAGTCAGAGGAATCAAAAAAAGAGCCTAAAATCAAACATTCAGAGATGTAGGGATGATTACATTTATTCTTTTAAAAATGCACACAAAATCTTAAGGATGCCTTGCTTTACAATAGCTGGACACTTTATTTCTTGTCATGCTATATGCCTAACATAATAAAGCCCAATCTAGAGATATTTTTTCCCCAACAAGGATCAACAACACTTTTACTTAAAAAATAAAATGACTTTATTATGGCATCACTACTACATATACCTGTACTTTTTGCATCCAGTTTGTTTAGTTCTTTGAAGAAAGTCTTAACAACTAAAATTGTACAGATCATAGAGCAAGAGAATTACTTTAACAAATTCAGTAAAAAATAGTTCAGGACAACTGTACTATAGAGTTTTAGACTATACTAACGTTGTCTTAGAAATTTATTTACAATAAATCATAGTATAAACACTCTAAATTTTAAAATAAATCTGTGGATTTTATACAAAAATATTCTAAAGCACAAGTATAAGTTAAACATTGAATAAAACATTCATCATATGCAGTAGAAGATATTATTAAGAATATATTCTAGGTGGTAAAATTCAAAACGATAACCACAAGACTGTTTCCTAAACCATTCCTAATTTTAAGTATTTTAGTAGTAATCACAAGGTTTAGAATTTCAAGGTAAGATTTTCATTTTTACAAATGTGAGATACACAGTTACCTTCACAGGCCTCTTTTCTCTTTAGCTTATGTAAAAAGGCAACAAAGTAATAAAAATCTCTTAGTCAGAAGTTGCCATGCTATGTAAGTATATTAATTGTGAAATTTTCAAAAAATCTTATCTTTAGCTGATTCCCTTTAAAAAGAAAACAGTTGTATGTTGTACATAAAACAAAAAAACACATTTCAGAAAAATGTTAAGTACTAAATCTTTTTTTAAAGTCTTTTTTTAAAAAAACTATGAACAGAACAAAACATTTGCATTTAAATAATTTTGGTGTGAAATATCTTTGGAATAGTATAAGAAACTCTTGCCAAGAGGCACCATTTTGCTGTTTACATGTTTCATTGTTCAATAATTTTCCCCAAATGCTACAAATGACTATTTTAAAACAATGTTGACATTATTTACAGTTGTGTTTTTACCTTGAGGTACTAATTTTGCATTTGGCTCGGATGTTCTTAAAAGGTAGATCTGTGACCTAGTAATATGCCAGTTTTGATTTCCTAAGATGTTGTGTTAAAATACCACTAAAATATACATATCCTTATTACCAACCACATTCTTACAGAGAAAAATGCACATTAAACTTATTACCTTATGAACAATTTGGACTTTAGTTCCAGCTTTGGTTCCTTTTCATTCTATTAAGTAGAGTTATAAACATGGCATTTGTGGGTAATTGAGTAATTGTAGATACCAGGATAGCAATTAAACAAAAAAAGAAAAAGTACTTAAGACTTCTACGTTGAAACAGAGTAAATACTGACACTGGGAAAATTTTAATTGGCCCATTTTTCCTAAACTATCAGTGCAAATTAGCAAACCTTTAGAAGAGTTTAGTCATGGAAAGAAGGAAGCATAATTTCATCTTCGTTGGCTCCTTGCTGATACCGAACTGAAGAGAAGCCCACCCAGTGCAAACGGTTCCTTTGGAAAAGGAACCAGATCAATCCGCTGATGAGAGCTAAGAAACTTAGCACAGCAAATGTGATACCCAGTCCTCTGTAATCAGGACCTAGAACAGGGAAAGGTTTGACAGTGGAGGAGAGAATATAAAAGTGATTATTATTGATTTTATACATTAGGCTCTATGTCACATATGTAAACACTGTACAAATTAGATACAATAAGTACCTGATTGTTTCATAGTGTGAACACAATTCAAATTCATTATTAGACACTTAAGTGTTTTCTTTTCCAATTTAACTCTTTTCATTCAAATCCTCTTCATTGCTATAGCAATTTTCTTCCAAAGAAAATAAAGTGCTATCATTATTCTCCCTTCCCTTCCCATCATCCCTGAGACCATCATTCCCAGTATATTACCTTACTTTGATAGCAAATTGCTAAAAGTTGTAAATGTTTGTGTTTGGCTTACCTAGTGCCAAATAAAGTATTATTTGCTTTAAAGGAATTTAAGCCTTTAGGATGACCTCATTTAGTTCCTTGTTATTCAATTTCAAACACTGTCCCAGGCCCCTGTCTACATGCTGTTGAGATGGACTCATTTTTTCCCATGGCTTTAATACCATCTCTATGCTGACCTCCCTTCTCTCTCATATGTCCAAAGGCACACACTGCACATGCCATGTGGATAGCTCATCTCCACATGGATAGTTCAAAATGCCAAAACAGAACTCTTGGTTTATACCACTCTAACCCTGCTCCCCGCCAAATCTTTTTTTTCTTCCCCCAAATCTTTTAGTCACTCTCCATTCCACTCAGAATGGAACCTGAACTCTTGACTCGGGATTCCAAAGCCCTAAGTGTCTGGTACCTGTCTACTTGGCAGCTCTTCCCTGAGCCCACAGCAAGTTGTTCTGTCTTAGGCTCTCTACTCCAGCTGGCACCTCTGCCTGCTATGACTCCTACCCTGGTCCCCAAGGCCTTTCTGGTCTCAGCTTCAATATCTCCGGCTCTAAGATGTCTTCTCTGATAACCTGATCTATAGTAGTCAACTCCCTAGTCTCCATTATATAGAGTTTATAACTCTTTGATATTTTCCTCTCTTTTAAAAACAGACCTGCTTGGTTACTTATTATCTGTCTTCCTCCATTAGATTGTAAGCTCTGTGAGAAAAGGAATCTTATCTGTCTTATACATGGGTATAGCTCCACACATAAAACAGATAATCTAAATGTTTGCTGAATCAATGCATAAATATAGATACTGGTCACCTAGAATTAGGGTTTTATTTTTAATATCTGTACACCAAATTGAACATTTTATGCTAATCTTTAAAAATGTTGATGTGAAAATTTTAGAGCTTATTAAGATTTTTGTGGTTATTTTATGTATCAGTTATGATGAAATGGAAGTTCAAATTATGATTTCCTATAGATACTCAGGACATTTTAATTAATTAAATAGTTTTGCATTGTTGTTAATTATGAGTTTTGTGGGAATGAGGAGAAAGGAAACACACTGCAGAATTAGACCTTTGAGTTTTTACGTGTTTGAACTATGGAATAAAATGCATCTTAACATTTTCAAAGAAATGACCTCCCTAATACTCTTGGCAGCTTCCATTTTTCTTAGGAAAGAATATACAAAGTTTGGACAGTTTAGCACTTTCCTCTGGGAGTCCTAGACATCTTATGCATTTACTGTCATTTGTAATCTATCTATTTTTCTGAGGGAAAAGAATCTATGAGTTAATCAAGATTGTTTGGATATACTCTAAGGACTAAGTACTTTAGGACAAAGTACAAAACTCTGCACATAATTGAATTGTACATTTATTTCCTGACCTATTCTGCAAAGTGTTCCTTAAGGACAGGTTACATACTTACCCAAGGGAACTGTGCAGACAACTCTTCCATAGCCACGTGAACATTCAACTTTTATCCAAGTTTCATTTGAAGCTAACAAAATGCTACATTGTCCACTGCCACTCTTAAATTTATTTGCCCACTTGACAAATGTCACTTTTGATCCATCTAACCAATTCCAGGACTGATCTAAAGAAAGAAATTAAGTATAACTATGTTTATTGCAACTAAATTACTAAGGTTAAAAGGTGCATGGCTCATATAATTTATTTCCTTAGAACTGTGCTGTGCCACTATTTTAAAATGAAATTTATTGCAAGTGAAAAAATTAAAATCAGTCCATCACCTGCACTTGCCGCATTTCAAGTGTTCCATAGCCATATATGGCTAGTGATTACTATGTTGGACAGAGTAGATATAGAACAATTTCATCTTTGCAGAAAGTTCTATTAGACAGCACTGATGTAGAATATGGTGCTTTGATTAAAATTCAGAATGCCTGTACATTTACTGTGTGACGGATAGACTTCTAAAGACCTGTATCCCTTTTCTCTTGCTCTCTGCCCCCCTCCCCCATTAAAAATCATTCCCAGTGTGCTGGTGGTCCAGCGGGGTCCAAGAAGGCCTCCTCACCATGACTCCATTTTTGCTTTCCAGCTGAGCTTGCACCACCTTGTGGTGATAGTATAAACACAATTTATAATTCATTTAGATGGCCAACTTTGAATTCACTGACTTTTTGACACATACTTAATATTTTGGAATTCACATTTATTTTAATTATTTAGAATTCAAATTTGCATAAAATGTGAAGCAGACTTCCTATTCTTCTATCAAATTTGTACTCTTCATTCTTTATCAATTCCAAGTGCACTGAAACCCTCTAAGGCGTAAGCCTTATTGAAAAACTCTTCCACAAACCTTTTTGAACCAAATTTCTGCAATTTTACTAAGCTAGTATGAAAAAAAAATCACCATTAAGACTTAATTTAGGGCTTCCCTGGTGGCGCAGTGGTTGAGAGTCCGCCTGCCGATGCAGCAGACACGGGTTCGTGCCCCGGTGCGGGAAGATCCCAGAGGCCGCGGAGCGGCTGGGCCCGTGAGCCATGGCCGCTGATCCTGCGCGTCCAGAGCCTGTGCTCCGCAATGGGAGAGGCCACAACAGTGAGAGGCTCGCGGACCCCCCAAAAAAAAAAAAAAAAAAAAAGACTTAATTTAGCTCTATGGTTAAAAAAAAGTTCCAAGAGGAAAGGGAACAACAGGAAGAGAACTTCTGAATAACAGTTAAAAGCTACAAAAACACTGTGTGATAGACACTAGAAATCTAAGGGTTCCTGGTGGGGGACACGAGGGACACAGATACTGCCACAGGAGAAAAACAAATTCTGTTGACCCAAGTATATTAAGCCTCTAAAACAATTCCAGTTGATTTAACCTGATTTTCTATTTCATTAGTGTTTCCATCATTACTAATAAGTCACCTGTTTATTCATTAGGAGTTTATGAGCCTCTAAAACAGAAGACCTAGTTTATTCATCACTAAGAAGCATTCGAATTAGCCACCACTTGACATTCTTTAGTGAGGCTGACTTGGTATTTAGGACAAGTTAGAACTCTCTTTGCACACTGTACATACAGATATGTCATTTACCGGCAGAAAGTTGAGATAATCCAAGCCAAACTCTCATGGTAATGTTATTATTTTCCCTCATCAGTCTGCTCACAAATTTATTCTCATCTTCATCCTTTATGGTAACGATAGTTGCAGAATGATCTGTTGAAGGAAAACAAACCCCAAACCAATCAGCTTTATGCAAACTAGGGAAGTGGTTTATTCTCAACCAGCCATTTGAAAAAAGCTATCATGATCAAGATCACGAAGATATTCAAACTTGACACGGAATGTTTTTAAAATCTGATATTTATTTCAGATTTAAGAAAATATAACATTAATAGCTTCTAAAAAAGTTAATAATGTTCTAGATTGAAACTTTGCATATAGAAATTTTACATTTCCTCAAAATGTTTACCTGGTAATATTTTTGGATCTTGGAACTACCTAACCAGTGAGACCTTTCTGTATGAACAGCAAGTCAGAAGAATGGGGTATGAAATGATAGAAGTCTGTGCTCCCCTATAGATTTTCAGCCCTCTCTCCTCAACAACCAGTTCTGTATAATAACTCAGCTTTAACTTTGCTTCTGTTAAAATGAAAATAAAAGCAAATAGGTTTGGGATGTCAGAGAGCACTGGCCTTCCTTTGAATATAATTTTATACATAAGAGTACTTGGTCATCCACTGTAAGTTCCTAAATATAGTATGGCACTGAATGAGTGAGTATTCTTGAAGTTTGATAGGTTGCCCTAAACCCACAGAGATAACAGTGCTATCACCAGCATCAGGCAAGGGATAGAAACAAAATAATATCTAGACTTAGAAATCCATCCTAAATGGAATCAAATAGCCTTCAACGCAAACAAGCTTATCCATACTTGAACTAAAGCATTTCTTTTGTGGTGTGAAATATTTAAAGAAGGGCAAAGGAAAGCCTTTTCTCCTCTACTGATCACCACAGTGTGCAGGTACTTTACCTTGTTTAATATGACATAATCCTGTAGAAAAGGTATTATCACTATTTTACAGATGTAGAAATGGAGGGGCAAGAAGATTAAGTAAGTTTGTCAGACTTTCATAGCTAGACAGCTTTAGAAATAGAAAGTCAATCTCAATCTTTCTAATGCTAAGAGTAGTTACGAATGCTCTCTGTTTGCAGAGCTCTGTGATAAATTAGCACACATTATCCCATTTCGTTCATTCCTACAACAACCCAACCTTTACCCAAACTTTGAAGTGAGTACTATTTTCATTCTCATTGTTCAGAGGAGAAGGAGAAACAATTATGTAGCTTCCACAATATCATTCAGCTTAGTTAGTATGGAAGCTGGGATTTGAACCTAGACCTGTCTGTCTCCAAGGCTTCAGTGCTTAAACCCTACACTATAATGACAGTAAACCTTTCTTTCTCCTTTAGGAGCAAGAGGCTTCTGACTTTCAGAACATGTATATAGAGCTCAAAATAGTTCCCATCACGTGTAACATGTATAACACACAACAGTTCCCACACAAAAGTTTCCATCATGTAGCTAAGCAGTAACAAGGAGATTTTTAAATCAGTAAAGTGTCTCCACAAGTTAGTAAAATAACTAAGATAAATGTCATCTGCCTGCCTAAACTGAGACCCAAGGATGCAGGTACTTGAAATACTCTAGGTGGTCTCCCTAGAAGTCGTTTCACAGTCTGACTACCCGCCAAGTTTCTCATGGGAGGGAGTCAATCATTGCTGCTCTTTCATTTTAGTTAAATCTGAAGACAAAAAGTCCTGTCCCTTATAGTGTTCAGAGGTGTGGGCCATCCCTTTTGCAGAACGGATGAACAACCCATGCTTCTTAGACTTTGTTACCCTGGTCAGGCTAAGCTTACTTATTAATGACTAGGTAATGAAAAATCTACAATATTGTATTTACTGCTTAAACAACTTTACAAAAAATCAGCTTCTTAATCCTTTTATTTAAGCATATCTAGCTATATTTAAAACGGTTTCATTTGTCAGTATTTTCACATAATAGTTTACTTAGCAATTTTTTTGTTTTGTTTTGTTTTTGCAGTACACGGGCCTCTCACTGTTGTGGCCTCTCCTGTTGCGGAGCACAGGCTCCGGATGCGCAGGCTAAGCGGCCATGGCTCACGGGCCCAGCCGCTCCGCAGCATGTGGGATCTTCCCGGACTGGGGCACGAACCCGTGTCCCCTGCATCGGCAGGCGGACTCTCAACCACTGCGCCACCAGGAAAGCCCGGTCATTTTTTTTTTTCTTAACATCTTTATTGGAGCATAATTGCTTTGCAATGCTGTGTTAGTTCCTGCTGTATAACAAAGTGAACCAGCTATATGCATACGTATACCCCCATATCCCCTCCCTCTTGCGTCTCCCTCCCACCCTCCCTATCCGACCCCTCTAGGAGGTCACAAAGCACCGAGCTGATCTCCCGTGCTATGCGGCTGCTTCCCACTAGCTATCTATTTTACATTTGGTAGGGTATATATGTCAATATTACTCTCTCACTTCGTCTCAGCTTACCCTTCCCCCCTCCCCGTGTCCTCAAGTCCATTCTCTATGCCTGAATCTTTATTCCTGTCCTGCCCCTAGGTTCGTCAGACCATTTTTTTTTCAGATTCCATATATGTGTGTTAGCACATGGTATTTGCTTTTCTCTTTCTGACTTACTTCACTCTGTATGACAGACTCTAGGTCCATCCACCTCACTACAAATAACTCAATTTCGCTTCTTTTTATGGCCGAGTAATATTCCATTGTATATATATGCCACATCTTCTTTATACATTCATCTGTCGATGGACACTTAGGTTGATTCCATGTCCTGGCTATTGCAAATAGAGGTGCAATGAACGCGGTACACGCTAGATCTATCCACCTCATTACAAATAGCTCAATTTCGTTTCTTTTTATGGCTGAGTAATATTCCATTGTATATATGTGCCACATCTTCTTTATCCATTCATCCGACGATGGGCACTTAGGTTGTTTCCATCTCCGGGCTATTGTAAATAGAGCTGCAATGAACATTTTGGTACATGACTCTTTCTGAATTCTGGTTTCCTCAGGGTATATACCTAGTAGTGGGATTGCTGGGTCATATGGTAGTTCTATTTGTAGTTTTTTAAGGAACCTCTTTTTAAGGAACCTCCATATTGTTCTCCATAGTGGCTGTATCAATATACATTCCCACCAACAGTGCAACAGGGTTCCCTTTACTCCACACCCTCTCCAGCATTTATTGTTTGTAGACTTTTTGACCAGTGTGAGGTGATACCTCATTGTACTTTTGATTTGCATTTCTCTAATGATTAGTGACGTTGAGCATCCTTTCATGTGTTTGTTGGCAATCTGTATATCTTCTTTGGAGAAATGTCTATTTAGGTCTTCTGCCCATTTTTGGATTGGGTTGTTTGCTTTTTTGATATTGAGCTGCATGAGCTGCTTGTATATTTTGGAGATTAATCCTTTGTCAGTTGCGTTTGCAAATATTTTCTCCCATTTCGAGGGTTGTCTTTTTGTCTTGTTTATGGTTTCTGTTGCTGTGCAAAAGCTTTTAAGTTTCATTAGGTTCCATTTGTTTATTTTTGTTTTAATTTCCATTTCTCTAGGAGGTGGGTCAAAAAGGATCTTGCTGTGATTTATGTCACAGAGTGTTCTGCCTATGTTTTCCTCTAAGAGTTTTATAGTGTCTGGCCTTACATTTAGGTCTTTAATCCATTTTGACTTTATTTTTGTGTATGGTATTAGGCAGTGTTCTAATTTCATTCTTGTACATGTAGGTGTCCAGTTTTCCCAGCACCACTTATTGAAGAGGCTGTCTTTTCTCCAGTGTATATTCTTGCCTCCTTTATAAAAAATAAGGTGACCATATGTGCGTGGGTTTATCTCTGGGCTTTCTATCCTATCCCATTGATCTATATTTCTGTTTTTGTGCCAGTACCGTACTCTCTTGATTATTGTAGCTTTGTAGTATAGTCTGAAGTCTGGGAGCCTGATTCCTCCGGCTCCATTTTTCTTTCTCAGGATTGCTTTGGCTGTTCGGGGTCTTTTGTGTTTCCATACAAATTGTGAATTTTTTGTTCTAGTTCTGTGAAAAATGCCAGTGGTAGTTTGATAGGGATTGCATTGAATCTATAGATTGCTTTGGGTAGTAGAGTCATTTTCACAATGTTGATTCTTCCAATCCAAGAACATGGTATATCTCTCCATCTGTTTGTATCATCTTTAATTTCTTTCATCAGTGTCTTATAATTTTCTGCATACAGGTCTTTTGTCTCCTTAGGTAGGTTTATTCCTAGATATTTTATTCTTTTTGTTGCAATGGTAAATGGGAGTGTTTTCTTGATTTCACTTTCAGATTTTTCATCATTAGTATATAGGAATGCAAGAGATTTCTGTGCATTAATTTTGTATCCTGCTACTTTACCAAATTCATTGATTAGCTCTAGTAGTTTTCTGGTAGCATCTTTAGGATTCTCTATGTATAGTATCATGTCATCTGCAAACGGTGACAGCTTTACTTCTTTTCCGATTTGGATTCCTTTTATTTCTTTTTCTTCTCTGAGTGCTGTGGCTAAAACTTCCAAAACTATGTTGAATAACAGTGGTGAGAGTGGGCAGCCTTGTCTTGTTCCTGATCTTAGAGGAAGTGGTTTCAGTTTTTCACCACTGAGAATGATGCTGGCTGTGGGTTTGTCATATATGGCCTTTATGTCATATATGTTGAGGTAAGTTCCCTCTATGTCTACCTTCTGGAGAGCCTTTATCATAAATGTGTGTTGAATTTTGTCAAAAGCTTTTTCTGCATCTATTGAGATGATCACATGGTTTTTCTCCTTCAGTTTGTTAATATGGTGTATCACATTGATTGATTTGCATATATTGAAGAATTCTTGCATTCCTGGGATAAACCCCACTTGATCATTCTGTTTGCTAGTATTTTGTTGAGGATTTTTGCATCTGTGTTCATCAGTGATATTGGCCTGTAGTTTTTTTTGTGTCATCTTTGTCTGGTTTTTGGTATCAGGGTGACGGTGGCCTCGTAGAATGAGTTTGGGAGTGTTCCTCCCTCTGCTATATTTTGGAAGAGTTTGAGAAGGATAGGTGTTAGCTCTTCTCTAACTGTTTGATAGAATTCGCCTGTGAAGCCATCTGGTCCTGGGCTTTTGTTTGTTGGAAGATTTTTAGTCACAGTCTCAATTTCAGTGCTTGTGAATGGTATGTTTATATTTTCTATTTCTTCCTGGTTCAGTCTTGGAAGGTTGTGCTTTTCCAAGAATTTGTCCATTTCTTCCAGGTTGTCCATTTTACTGGCATAGAGTTGTTTGTAGAAATCTCTCATGATCCTTTGTATTTCTGCAGAGGCAGTTGTTACTGCTCCTTTTTCATTTCTAATTCTGTTGATTTGAGTCTTCTCCCTTTTTTTCTTGATGAGTCTGGCTAATGCTTTATCAATTTTGTTTATCTTCTCAAAGAACCAGCTTTTAGTGTTATTGATCTTTGCTATTGTTTCATTCATTTCTTTTTATTTCTGATCTGATCTTTGTGATTTCTTTCCTTCTGCTAACTTTGGGGGTTTTTTGTTCTTCTTTCTCTAATTGCTTTAGGTGTAAGGTTAGGTTGTTTGAGATTTTTCTTGCTTCTTGAGGTAAGACTGTATTGCTATAAACTTCCCTCTTAGAACTGCTTTTGCTGCATCCTGTAGGTTTTGGGTCGTCGTGTTTTCGTTGTCATTTATTTCTAGGTATTTTTTGATTTCCTCTTTGATTTGTTCAGTGATCTCTTGTTTATTTAGTAGCATATTGTTTAGCCTCCATGTGTTTGTATTTTTTACAGGTTTCTTCCTGTAATTGATATCTAGTCTCATAGCGTTGTGGTCAGAAAAGACACTTGATATGATTTCAATTTTCTTAAATTTACCAAGGCTTGATTTGTGACCCAAGATATGCTCACTCTTGGAGAATGTTCCATGAGCACTTGAGAAGAAAGTGTATTCTGTTGTTTTTGGATGGAATGTCCTACAAATATCAATTAAGTCCATCTTGTTTAATGTGTCATTTAAAGCTTGTGTTTCCTTATTTATTTTCATTTTGGATGATCTGTCCATTGGTGAAAGTGGGGTGTTAATGTCCCCTACTATTATTGTGTTACTGTCGATTTCCCCTTTTTGGCTGTTAGCATTTGCCTTATATATTGAGGTGCTCCTATGTTGGGTGCATAAATATTTATAATTGTTATATCCTCTTGGATTAATCCCTTCATCCTTATGTAGTGTCCTCCTTTGTCTCTTGCAATAGTCTTTATTTTAAAGTCTATTTTGTCTGATATTAGAATTGCTACTCCAGCTTTCTTTTGATTTCCATTTGCATGGGATATCTTTTTCCATCCCCTCACTTTCAGTCTGTATGTGTCCTTAGGTCTGATACTGATCATTTTTAATGGCTATTTCAATATTACATTGAGCTTATATATCATAAAATACTTAACCATTTCCCCACCACTTGGCAATTGGGTAACAATGCTATTATAATTAGTGAGTGCTTTAGAAATAGTTTCAAAAATATAATCTTTGTTTTAAAGGGTTTCATTAAGAAAAATTCCAATGATTAAATTACTGAGTCAAAAAAAGTCAACACATTTTAACTTACCAAGCTCTGAACAAAACCGTCTGGCTTCTGAGAAACTGTGCAATGCCTGATCAGATGTGTAACAGTGGTCCCTGTACTGAATCCACTGTGTCTCATTCCCTTTTACTGCTGGACATCTTGATGAGTGTGTATGAGAGGACACCTCTTTAGCTGTAAAAATGTTAGACATAACTGTGAAAATGCACAGAAAAAAATGACTTTTAAAATCTCATTAAATGTCACTGACACTGTGGTTGACACTGTGGTTCCTGTGGGTAAGAAGCATTCAACTCAGTACACATCAGAGAGAGCTACAGCCCACACTTGCATTCTTGTTAGTTTTTGGGATACCATTTTTAAAACTGAGAATACAGAGGAAAGTACTTAGCCCTCTAAGATGAATTAAGACTAAAGTAAAAACAGTTGGAAAGACAGACTAGGAGAAGAAGAAAAGACAGCCTGTAACTACTTTGAAATAATAATTAAAATTCTTTATTTCTTTGGATTCCTTTTTATCGTAATAATAAAAATGTAGTTGAACCTTGCCATAAAAAAAAAATCACACCCACAAGTGAAAATTTGGTAATTTGTTTACAAAGCACAACAGATCAGCACAGCAAAATCTGTCTCAAACAAAAGAAGTAAGTGTAGCTTTGCAGCTCTTAACAATTCCCCTTGTTTCCATTTAAATTCTTTAATTTTTAATTGTGCTGTGTAACACAAGAAGCCTGTGTAATGAAGCCTGTGCCCCTTAAGACCATTGTTAATTCCAACAGAAGAGAGTATGAGAATTGGAAAGTAAATTGCTGGCATCCTGTTGGTGGGGTACAGATTATCTGAATCAAATATCTGACCTTGTATGGCCAGTAATCTCAACCCAAACCATTGTTCTGTATGCATTATGTATGGTCTGCATATCCTTCAGTCACTGAAGCCCTCTTCTGCTTTTTTCTCCTTGTCACAGTTTGGTAGAATTCTTTTTATTTATGATCCCTATGATTCCAGAAGAATGGCTGCTGTCCTTTCCTTCTTCATCAAGAGACTTCAGGATGGCTCTCCATTCCTCCTTCTGCTTCTCTATCCTCTGTTTCTCCACCTGGGCTTGTTCTTTTTTGAAATCTAGTTATTTGGCTTCTGCCTCCATACCTCCCACTAATGCCACTAGTTTGAGTTCTAAGTCTTCCTTCAGTTTGACAATTGATTACTCCTGGCTAAGTTTCCTAGTTGCAGATGACGTTTGGTCATCATCTGCAAAGTCTATAAGACTTGTGACAATTCTTCATTAATGCTGCCGGAGGAGGAAGACGGTATTAGCAAGCTCTTGATTCTACCACATTGTGAATATAGTTTCTTTGCCAAAAATATACAGCTGACTACTCCTTCATTGCACAAGCAGTAATGTGTGTTGCTTCTTTAGATGCAAAACATGTTGAACATTGGCTACCAATGCATGGCTAGGACAAGTGGACTTTTATGAATGGGCTGGCTTTAAAAAAATTCTTCTTACACTGGGAACATATGGAAATAAATGCCTTATCTTCAAAGTCTGTCTGTTTCTAGTCCAGGCTGCAACTGGGCTGTTTTAGACTGCATACATTTTCTTTCCTTAATGTTTTCATGAAGTTTTGCTTCCAACTCTTACATTGTGGTAAGTTTGTTATATTCCTGCCAAGAAGATTCAACTTTTTTGAAAGGGGTAAAATACACGCAACATAAAATTTACCACTATAACTATTTTTAACTGTACCGTTCAGTGGCATTAAGTACATTCACATTATTGTGCAAACATCACCACCATCCACCTCCAAAATTTTTTCATCTTGCAAAATTGAAACTTTGTTCCCATTAAATAATAACTCCTCATTCCTCCCTCCTCCCCGCAACCACCATTCTACTTTATGTCCCTGTGAATTTGGCAACTCTAGGTACCTCATATAAGTGGAATCATACAGTATTTGCCCTTTTGTGACTGGCTTATTTCACTAAGCATAATGTTAATGTCTTCAAGGTTCATCCATGCCGCATTATGTGTCAGAATTCCCTTTCTTTTTAAGGCTGAACAATATTCCACAGGATGTACACAGCACATTTTGCTTATCCATTCATGTATCAATGGACACTTGGGTTGCTTCTACCCTTTGGTTACTGTGAATAGTGCTGCTATGAACATGGTTTTACAAATATCTGTTCGAGTCCCTGTTTTCACTTCTTTTGGGTACATACCCAGATGTGGGATTGCTGGATCATACAGTAATTCTATGTTAAATTTTTTGAGGAGTCATCATACCATTTTCTACAGTGGCTACACACCATTTCACATTCCCACCAGCAATGCACAAGGGTTCCAATTTCTCCACATCCTCACCAGTACTTGTTATTGTCTTTTTAAGATCCAGTATAAGTTTGCACTTGTATTCATTTCCCAGGGCTGCCATAATAAATTAGCACAAACCTGTTGACTTAAAATGACAGAAATTTATTCTCTCATAGTTCTGGAGACTACAAGTCTGAAAATAAGGTGTTAGCAGGGTTGGTTCTTTCTAGTGGCTCTGAGGAAGGATCTGTTTCATGCCTCTCTCCTAGCTTCTCGCGGTTGCTGGCAATCCTTGGCTTGTAGCTGCATCACTGCAATCTCTGCCTCTGTTATCAAATGGCCTTCTTCCTGTGTGTCTGAGTCTCTCCTCTTATAAGAACACCAGTCACTGGATTTAGGGTCCATCCTAATCCAGTATGACCTCATCGTAACTAACTACCTCTGTAAAGACTATTTCTAAATAAGGTCACATTCTGAGGTTCTGGGTGGACATGCATTTTGGGGAACACCATTCAACCCAGTACATCACCGAATTTGTGTCTGAGCTGTTTTCATTCTCCTTTATCCTATAAAGTCTGTTTCTCTAACACAGATGTCCTCTCCATTTCTACATACTTTATCATATTTCTCATGTATTTCAATTGTTTTTCTAAAAGATTAAATTTATTTTCTATACCTAACAACTAAGATGTCAGTTCTTGATTGTGTCTTTATTCCTCATTCTCTGTATCATTCTCCTTTTCTTGTATTCACTTGTATATCTAGATAAGGTGTTCACATTTTCTTCTGCTTAAATCCATTGAAATTCCAAATGTTAAATCTTCTCTTGAGGATTCTTCAGAACAGAAAATATGGTAAGCACTGAGAGAACCAGTGAGAACCAGAAGCTTCAGATAACCACATGGCCACCATCTCGTGGCCTGCCCAGAGGGCCTCTGCAGCTTGTGCTCTAGGTTCTTGTGCTCTTCATCATGATTCATACTCCACCCACCAGGGACGACCCCATATCCAGCCCCTGATGGAAGGGGCTCTTTCCTTAGATTTTAAGGATCCTATGTGTTTGGAAAACGTTTAGTTACACAAAACATTTCTTTACTATAGAAACTCTTTACTATAGAAACTTTCAGAGCCATCAATATGGTAAATCATAGAGGTATTTCCCAAATTTCTATGCTATGGTACCCTTTTTTAAAAGGAGCATCTCAGCCTTTGAAAAACATTGCTAAGTGAAATTAAAATTCACAAATTCTAGAGTAAAACTCATCTAGCGACAGAACAATTGGAAGTCTTTGAGAACAAATTCCCTGAATGGGCATATCATATTTGTTTCTCTTCACAAAGTATCAAAAGTATTTTGATAGGACTTGTGAATAAACCTTATTTAAAAATCTACAAAAAGAAGTTCCTTTGAGTATTTAATCATGTGCATAAAATAAATGTCATGTTTTGGTAAATATACAGTTATTTGAAATCATGTCTTACATTTTGTAGGTTTATAACAAATAGCACCATCCTTAACGGAGTTGCATTTTTCATGTTTCCAAATTCCTTTTGGATCCAAGACAACACAATTTCCAGCAGATTTTTTATCTTTCCATGGGATATAGTCAAAGGCACTGCCATCAGACCATTCAAAACTTGATTCACTTCCCTGTGTTAAGAATAATAGAGATAACTTGAATTCAGATATATGACTTCAAAAAGAACACTAAGAAGAACATGCATGCTTTAAAAAATACAGGGATGGAGTGTTAATTATTTGCTTACAAGTATTGTAGATCTGGACCTACTTGTAAAATCAGGGATTTATTTTTCATGCATTGATCTGAGATATTTGCTCTGGCATAATTTAAATAGGATTTTAAATTTAGAGACAGTGTTACTATATCTCTAGATTTTTTTTTGTTTAAAGGATGAGTTAATATAACACTTGAAATTAAATGACATGCAAATGTCTTCCATTTGTCACAATTACAGATTTACAGTCTCAACCTTCACATTATTCTAAATATTGTCTTTTATATTTTATAGTTTTGTGGTTTGTGTCTCTGGCTAGATTTTTTCATATTACAGAAGTCATCAAGCAGCAGGGGTCTGGAAGAGAAAAATACTTCCCAAGAAACTCATACGGGAAGATTAGTTTTGACTTGTCCGCGATTCTATAATCCTAATTTGCCATCCTTTTATTTTCCCCACTTTTTTCTAAAGATTATTTAAATTAGGCCTTCAATTCTAATCTCAATAGATGTCAATTTTTTGTATACTAGACATCATTATCAGTACATGAATATACTAATTAATAGGGTTCGAATAGTGGTACAAAAGACGTGTTTACCTGCAGAAGATTATTTTCAAATAGTGTTAATTTCTAGGGGGAAAGTGGGGAGAAAATATACATCTATTAGTCCTAATGTTAAGAGTCTTACTTGGCACCTTATACAGTACAAATTTTGTGCTAATAATCCTCTATTAAGGAAAATATTATCACCCCAATTTTACAGATGAGGAAATAAGCTTGCAAAGGTTTAATAACTTGCTTGTGATCACCCAACATGTAAACAGAAGACCTGCCACTCGTATTGGAACTCAGGTTTTTCTGATCCTGTGCTATTCCCTTTTCACCAGCTCTCCAACTGGTCTATCCCAAATAGGTTACAGGGGTGTTGTTGAGACATTAATCTACTAAGCCCTTGGGATGGCTTGGCAGTGTCCAGGGCGGCTGCAGTCCTGGCCATTTGCCTAGATCACTCTATAAATATAATTTTCCATTTGCTCTATGTTGTGAAAAGATAGAAAGCACTATGGGATGCAAAATGTAATCCGAGGACTTAATCTGATGTTATACTTTGAACTAATGTCTTATGCTCAAATTTCCAGCCCTCTAACATATTTGGAAAATTTCTGGAAAACAAAACATGACTTACATCATGACTTGAGAGCCCAACCCATAGTGGAAATCCATCACGCTTTACGATATCTTCCAGAAAAAGCTGGCCATTTTGGTCATGAACACTTGCCAAATGACCTCCACTTTGAGAACATGTATTTAATGCTTCATACCATGTTACTCTTTTTTGAACAACATTATAAATACCATCTTCATGTGGAATAAACCATGGCAGAGTAGTATTATAGTCTTCTTTGTAGTCAACTGTAATATTTAATTTAAAAGCGTTAGTGATTAAATTTGTATTATCCAAAATACATATTTTGGGTAAGGTTGGACATGCAATCATTTCAAAAGTTAAATAAAACTGGGGCTTCCCTGGTGGCGCAGTGGTTGAGAATCTGCCTGCCAGTGCAGGGGACACGGGTTCGAGCCCTGGTCTTGGAAGATCCCACATGCCGCGGAGCAACTGGGCCCGTGAGCCACAATTACTGAGCCTGCGCATCTGGAGCCTGTGCTCCGCAACAACAGAGGCCACGATAGTGAGACGCCCGCGCACTGCGATGAAGAGTGGCCCCCGCTTGCCACAACTAGAGAGAGCCCACGCACGGAAACGAAGACCCAACACAGCCAAAAATATTAAAAGAAAAAATCTTCCTTCCCTGAACCCTTGGATAGCCTTGATCAGATACTTAAAAAAAATAAATAAATAAAAACAAAATAAATAAAACTGGGGCTCTTATTAATAAGGGAGGTCAAATGCATACTTTCTCTTATAGCCACAGCATATATAATAGGCTCTTAACTATTACAATTGTCTGAGTGATTTTAAAAAGGCATAAACATTGTCTTTTATTTAAGGAGCTCACATATTAGTTGGGCACAGAAAACAACAACACCTGAAATGAGGGCAAAACAATTAACCACTAAAATATGTGTGACTGACTAGAGAAAGAGTCATCTGAATTAAGGGAGTCAGAAAACCTGCTTGATAAATTAGATCTCCAGACTTTAGGTTAGATGAAATTAGGACCAAAAAGAAATAAGGTAACCAGAAAGTCAGCTAAAAACAAACAACAGTAATAACAAAACCACAATGATGAGGGTATTTCAAAAGGACACAGAAGCCAAGTAAAAGAGCTCCCAATGGCCAAATCTGAAACAATTTGAGCAAAATATTAAATAATATAGTCTATTAGATTATAACCCAAAGTATAAAATAAATAACCATGAGCCCATGCCAATACAAATAGGGACGAAATAAATTTTTTTTAATGGGAGAGAATAGACAAATCTCCTGTGTAGAATTCCAAGTAATTTATATAGGTACTTCCCACCTCAGGAAGGTAGAGAATACCTCTCCATTCCACAAGTAAGGACTGGGTATGGTAACTTCCTTACAAAGAGTATGATACGGAAAGGGGGAAGAGGAGTAACTCTGCAGTGGAGAAAGCTAATGAACATTACCTAGACCCAGGTGATCAAGGTTAAAATCAACAGTGATAAGTAAGTCATGCTGACAGAATATACCCTTCACAAGATGTGATGAGAATGACATTTTACCTCTGCAGTTTTTTCCCTAAACCCCAAACCCATAACACCAGTTTAATCATGAGAAAAACATCAGCCGACCCAAACTGAGGGACATTCTACAAAACACATGACCAGTGCTCCTTGAAATTATCAAAAAAAGCAAGAAAATCTGAGAAACTGTAACAGCTGAGAAGAACCTAAGGAGACATGAAGACCAAGTGTAACGCAGTATCCTGGATGAATTCCTGAACAGAAAACCAACATAAAGTAAAAACTAAGAAAATCTGAACAAGGTATGGACTTTAGGTAATAATAATTTACCAACATTGGTTTATTTGTTGTGACAAGTGTACCATACTAATGTTAGATGTCAACAACAGGGGAAACTGGTTATGGTGTATATGGGAACTCTCTGTACTATCTTTGCGACTTTTCTGTAAATATAAAACTATTCTAAAATGAAAATTTTATTTAAAAAGGAAAGAAAAAAGAAGGTAGAAGACATCATGACAGGAAAAAGAAAAACAAATAAAGGTGCAAATGAGAATGGGTATACACTGTACATGGGACAGTGAAGAGATCAGCCTGACAGGAAAAGATACTTACTGAACCAAAAATGGGGAAAAAAATGGAGACTGGGAGAAAGCCTAGAATTTTAGAAGAGACTCTGGTTTCTAAAAAGTCTCAAAAGCTTACATGAACTCAAAGCAATTAATAATAGGGAATCCCTGGAGATTGTTGATGGAAATGGTGCATCAGAAAGTTATTCTGCAGGACTGTGAAGGGAGAAAATGGGCCTGGATGCAACTGTGATGGGCTCCATGTTAGCAGAGGGCTTAGAGCAGAATGGCCATAGGAACAGTTTTTAAGCTGTGAAAAATTTAAAAGTGACATGCATTTAAAAATACACGTATTTAAGGAATTAGGCAAGGTTGAGAGACATTCACTTTCAGCCTGTAATGTCAAAACTCTACCCAAACACACTTCCTTATTTACAGAAATCTTATCCATCCTTAAAGGCCCAACCAAGTTTTTCCTCCTCCTCAGTACATTCTTTGTTTTCATTATTCCTGTTTTCACTGGTCTCTTTTGACTTCCCAACAAACGTAAGCCTGTACCAAATAATCTAAGACTAACCTCCATAAAACAGTGATAAACATTTAATGCTGTCTCCCCAACTACATTTTATTCCTTGAGATCAAGACCATGACACCAGGGAGTGTGTCTTTTCCTTCCTCTGTGACGTCTACAGCGCCTCTCATAGGACTGAATACAAGGGAGCCACTCAAAAAGTACAACGCATGATTCCCGCTAGTGAAGCTAATGACTTTA